TGAAAATTGGTTCCCATGAGGGATTTTTTTTTTACTACGCCTATAAACCGAATTTACAAAACACACCAGAGTGTAGAAAACCAATTACAATCTCCTATAAGAAGAAGAAGAAAAAAAAACATGCGACACCATTCTGATAACATCAGCACCACTGCCCGAAGGCAAAAAATAAAAATACACTGCTAAGGCGGAGGGCTTTCCCATAAATACCCCACCAAGCTAGAAAGAAAACTCACCTCTGACTGCAAAGGCTGGTTTCCATCCCACAGCAGAGCTCCTGTTCGGAGTTTCTATGTTACTCTGGGATTACTGTGTAACATTTGCGATGCTGCACAGGTAACACAGCTGGAACTAACCTAGCAATTAACACAGCTGCTCAGCGTTCAGGTTTAAATGCATTTTCTGAGAAATCACTCACATTTGGACCATAAACTCTGCGCGTGATGGCTTACGGTTTACATTTGTGTTCTCATAAAAGCCGTCACCAGGCTAATTCCCACAGCCCTCTACCTCTCTCAGTCGGAGCTCTCTTCCCTCTCTGCCTCTCAAATACCTACAGTATTCAGTCAGCCGCTTCTCCACGGGTTCCTTCCATCTCTGTCCCCTTCCCCACCCTCAGCACCTCCCAAGGGTGTGCTATTTCATCACCACGTACTTGGCACTTAATTTTACATGGATGTGGGTTGTTCTTTATCCTCTTCCTGTGTTACTCTTTTCTCCCCTGGTTTTAAGTCCCACGTTGGGACTTTCCGTGACCTCAGAGAACCTCGTGGGGTGCTGATTGTGGGTTCAGCAAATATTTATGGGCTTATTGTTTGTTCCAAAGGAGACTCTAATTAATAAGAGAGACTTAGAACATGCATAGCCTATGTACTGAAAGCAAGGGTGTGGAAGCCAGGCCCGGGCTGCGGCTCCCACTACATCACTTTTCACCCTGCAACTTGGAGTAATTTTCTTCCTTTCTCAGCTCCTTTGCTCATCTCAAAACGGAGGATAATAATAGTATTTACTTCATGGGATTGTTTGGGGAGTCAACAAAGCAATGAACATAAAATGCTGAGCACAAAGGTCCAGTCCTATTAACAATAAATATAGAGCAAGCACTCAATAAATGGTAGCTATTGGTATGAAAACATTTCTCAAGATAAACTCATGCCTGAACTATTTGGTTGGGAAATGGTGCAGGCAGGTACTGGGGGTGGGGATGCCATCCATCACTGGCAAGTGCTGCCCCAAGGGGGCTCTGCTTAGTACCACTTGCAGCCCTTTTATATTGAAAGAAGATGAGTCTGATGTCTTCTATTTGGCTGTTTAAAACAATTCCTAGTAACTAATACGGGTACTCCTTCCTTCTTCCTTTCCTTCCTTTCTCTTCTCTTCTCTCTGTCTCTCTGTCTCTCTTTTCCTTTTTGATGGACTCTCGCTCTGTCGCCCAGGCTGGAGTGCAGTGGCACAATCTCCGGCTCATTGCAACCTCCTCCTCCCAGGTTCAAGCAATTATCCTGCCTCAGCCTCCTGAGTAGCTGGGACTACATGCGCACGCCACCACACTTGGCTAATTTTTTGTATTTTTAGTAGAGACGGGGTTTTATCATGTTGGCCAGGCTGGTCTCAAGCTCCTGACCTCAAGCGATCCACCCGCCTCGGCCTCTTAAAGTGCTGGGATTACAGGCGTGAGACACCGCACCCGGCTGTAAGTACCTATTTTTCAAAATTTTATCAGCTACTATAGTTATACAAGGGCATTAACACCAGGGGTTGCTGGGTGAAGGGTGTACGAGAACTCTGTACTATGTGTGCAACTTTTCTGAAAATTTTCAATTACTTTAAATGTAAAATGTTAAAGATGTAATTACTAATTAGTTATTTCCTTGAGCCTGACTTTCCATACTTAAGATTGGATTCCCTTCACACACACAACTGTACTTCAAAAATAGACTCCAATTCTTATGGATACTGTCATCAAAATATCTTCTCTCTGCATCTGCTATTTAAATATTTAGCCATCCAATTCACCGTCTGTGTGACTCTGGGTGAGTCACTTCATTTCCTTGTGTCTCTGTTTCTTCATCTATAAAGTAAGGATAATAAAGTCAACTTCTTCACAGATTTGAATAAAAGTTAGTACATAAAGTACTTAAAAAGTGGTCCTGTGGGGGAAGCACTGGGTAGCTGTGAGCTGCTGCTATTATTTGCTGTGGTCTGAATTCATATCTTAAGACTGGATTCCCAGTGTGATAGTATTAAGAGGTAGGGCATTTGGGAAGTAATTGCTTTGGGATATTTCATCCAAATGCAGAGCCTTATAAAAGAGAGAACAGGGATCAAGTTTGCTCCTTGCACCATGTGAGAACACAGCCTGCCTTCCTTTTCCATGGGAGGACACAGTGAGAAGTGCCATCTATGAAGCAGAGACGGAGCCTTCACCAGACACTGAATCTGTTGGGGCCTCGATCTTGAACTTCCCAGCTTCCAGAACTGTGATATATAAATTCCTATTATTTATAAATAACCCAGTCTAAGGTATTTTGTGATAGCGGCCTGAATGGAATAAGACATTATTATTATTAAACTTGCTGAATTCACATTCCTAGAGTGGAGCTATAGCTCTACAAAAATTTGTAAACTAATTCTCAAGGGACTTGGCCCAGATAGTTGCCATAAATAATACTGGCTGGCTTTCACATGTAAAAAGTCGATGTCTAACCCAGTGAAAGGTATTGTTCCTTAAGCTGATTCTGCGATTGTGAGTCAAGTTCAACTCTTGGCAATGGTAGAGGAAATAGCCTGATGTAAGCTCTAGCACAAAGAGGTCTGACCTTTCTCTTCCACCTGTGTACCTGTGCCACTCCAGCCAGGGCATCTGCGCCTCTCTGCGCAGTTTTAGATCTGCAAGGCTGTTGAGGCTCATAGGAGAGACTGGAAGGTGCAGGCAGTACATATGGTTGCTGCTTTTATTACCGAAGACGGCACGGGGTGTGTCCAGCATGCACAGCGTGCACGTTTTCCTTTATCTAGAAACACAAAGAATGCCAGCTAAACATTTAAATGCTCTGTCCAGGCATTCCTGCCTTATAGCGAGCCATAAGGTAGCCACATGTAAACCCATAATTAAACTCTGAATATTCACCTGTGATGTCTATTCTATTGCCAACAGCAGTCGCTTTGGAAATAAAGGAAAAGGTAAGAAAAGCGTAGAAATGTTTAGCCCGTAGGCATTCTACTTTATGCCCCTTGATCCCTTACCACCTATGGACACTAGGTGTTATGGTAATTTTCCCCTTGACTGCAAAATCTGCTCCCCAATACGTGGTTTTGACAATGTGGAAGCCTTAGTAGAAAAGAGAAACAAGAGCAAGGCTGGGATGTTGCAGAGGGGTCTCATGGCCCAGCTCATGGCCCCCAAGGAACACCATCTTCCTCTGGGCAGAGAGCAGCAGTGCCCAGTCAGAGGGGCCCTGGCTGTCAGATAAGGGCAGAGTGGATTCCAAGGACAGCATCAGCCCATTAAAAAGAAATGCAGGTGACAGCCACAGCCCCAGAGGCACTGGCACAATAGGGATGGTCTTGAGAAAATAAAAGAATTTCTCTAAAATCTACAAAAAGTCAGAAGGGATTCTGTATCTGTGATAGGGATTTCATTCCCAATTCCATTTTGACCATCAGCTATAGCTGGTTTCAAGGTTATCCAGAGGCAAACTGTTACCCTCTCCTAGCGATACCTTGGAATCCTGTGGTTTTCTCTGAGTTCTTACCTGAGAGGACAGCCCTGGTTCGAACATTTGCTTATCTTTCAAAGGAAAAACCTGAGGATGTTTCCAAAAGTAAGCTTTTCTTTGGAAGCCCCCACCTTTCCTTTTTTTCTTAAACAGATCCTCCTAAGCCTTTCTTCTATGTTTTCTGTTATCTAAACATAATAGATTAGCATCAGTCTTTCCATGTTTATGACAGCTTCAAATTCCTAGATACAAATGGAAGATACCTTTGCTGATCAAATCAAGATGAATGCCCTTGTCAACAAGAGTAATGTATACAGTTGGTCCCTCCGGGACCCCCAAGTACGAGGAAATAGGCTGATGCCTGAGAGTTCAACCACACACCAACATGGAGTGGGTCATGGTACAGAGAACTCAAGTCATCTTGAGGACACGGGATGGGTCCTAGGCCAATAGGACTCCAGGATAACTTGACTGAGTGTGCCGATTAACCGAAAGTGGATTTGGTGGGAAAACCAAAGGAAAAGCTACGCTATGGCAGAGCCCACCCAGAAACAGCCCCGAGGAGGGAGTAACCAGGCCCATGGACAGGGAATTCCGGTCACCTAACCAGGCTGTTTGTGGGAGGTGTGGTAATTACAAGCACAGTATCTGGAGTCAAATGCCTCCGTTCCCATCCCAGCTCCTCACTTACTAACTTTAACACTGCAAAGGACTGATCTGTGTCTCAGTGTCCTCTTCTGGAAGGTGAAGTTAATAACCAGCTAGGTGTCAGGTCTAAATAATTAATCTATGTGAAGTTCCTAGCACCATCCCCAACACCGGGGAAGCAAAAGCACTCAACGACTGTTGCTGTTGCTGAGGTGGATTTATTGGGCCATCACAGCCCAATGCCACAAAACACCTGGGTCATCCATCCATTGGCCTCCCCTTGTTCTAGTTCCACTCCCTCCAACAGCATTTTGATTAATTGGCTCCCCTGACCCCCTGTCACCGGGAGGAGAGTATACGGGCCATGCTGTCAGAATAGTCCAATCCACACAGTGGTTGTGACTTGGTGTGACGTTGAGTATTTGAGAATTTGGGTGTACAGACCCGTCTCCTGGGAGGTGTATTAACGTGAGAGTTCAGAGGGCTGCAGGGTTCCCAGACAGTGATGGTTCCACCAGGGCAACTGCCTCTCCAGAGGCCTCAGGGCATAGAGCCCGGCCCCCACCCTGCCTTAATATCAACCTTTATCCAAATGCCTGCCCACGATGCTGCTCCGGGATGAGCAAGCCTTACCTGTGACATGGAGCTTTTCATCAGCAACCTCAGCCTTTAGGTAAATCCGCCCCCTCTTCTCTGTGTGATCCATTCCGCAGAGGCTGGGGACGTTGATGACGCATTGCTTGTGAACGTTCATATCGCAGGCTGTGAATCAAGAAAGCAGAGGGTGAGCTGGGCATATGGACTCCAACCACCGCTCCTCAGTGTTTTGGTGCACGAGCAGAAGTGAAAATGAGTTACCCCCAACTCGATACTTTGCTATACTGTTTTTGGTGACATAAAGAACTGTTAGCAGATGTCCTGTACAGCACAGGCTTCATGTGAGTGACAATATCCTTAAAATACCCATACCATATTTGCTCAATCTTCACTGAAGCAAAATATCCCAGCTTGGCCTTCTGTGATTGTTTCAAATATTTAACAGTATACAAAATTCACACAGGTAAATATGTACAAAGCTCAGTTTAATTAATATTTTATGTACACAGAGGCAAAATAATATGAAAATTTTAAACATAGGATTTTTTTTTTTTTTCTTCAGACAGGGTCTCCTTTTGTCTCTCAGGCTGGAGTGCAGTAGCATAATCCTAGCTCAGTGCAGCCTTGAACTCCTGGGCTCAAGCGGTCCTCCCATCTAGGCCTCCTAAAGCACTGGGACTACGGATGTGAACCACTGCACCCAGCTTAAACATAAGACTTTTTGCTAATGAATTCTTTATGCTTTTCTGGGCTTACCACTGAGAAACAGTGAAAATCTGCAGATCGAGTATAGAAAATTCATTAAATTTTCCTTTCCTCAGCTAACCTTGTATTTTCAACAAGGTTTAAGTACATTGCCTGTGTTTTTTTCCCCAAAGAACTTGTATTTGGTATTTTAAACCTGTCTTCAAATATTTAAATATTATTCCAAGTAAAACAAATACCCGCCTAGCATGATCAGCCACTCCTTACAGCTGACATTATGTGGGTGAGACAGGGGGAGGATAAAAAAAGATCAGTATTATTGCAATGAACCAAAGAAACCCTGAAAAGAATCCTGTGTGCCGGAAACAAACAGAAGACCGTGTGTAGGTGTTCTAGCTTGATCGTCCTTGTACCTTTAGGCTTCCAGAAGGAGGGAAGGCCCCTGGAATCCTCACGAATCCTTGCCAGGATGCTAATAAGGTTATTCCGTAATCATCAAGGTGGGGTCTTCCTCTCCGTTTCATTTAGAGTGTTTAATTTTAACATGACAAAGTAAATTGAAAAAGCACCATGAATAATGTATACTGCTCCGATTAAAGACTGACAGCAGAATGACGGACATGCTGAGGAAAGAACAATTAGCTAATTCACAAATGTGGATGCTATTAGGCTTCTATTTCCAAGGCTAACTGTTCAAAATTCGACACCTTGAATTTAGCCAATATAAAGGCTCCTGAAAAGCTGTGTTATGAATGTCGCTTGTGTTAACCATGTCATGTGTTTAAGTGTCCGGGCAAAATCTGCAATGTGAAGGCAGTAAATGCCAGAGCCTCTGGAAAGCACACAGGCAACGGGGAGGGTACTGGAGGTGAAAGTGCACTGGGCCGTGCTCCAGTCTCCGCTGTGTATCTTGGGAAGCTCATTTGTTCTAACTTCATTTCCAGCTCTACAAAATGAGAGGTTGGCCCACTCGAGTTGTTGTTGCTCACTGCCCCCTGACGCCCTGCCCCATCCCAAGTGGAACTCTATCTAGGATTACAATTGCACAAGGTGGAAGGGCACGGGAAGAGGCTTTTTCTCTGCAGAAGTTAAGGTCAGTAGGGGTTGCAGTTCTGGGGCTTATCAAAGGAGCACAGGCGGCAGCCACAGAAGCCTTAAGATTCCTAAGAAAAAGAGTTTAAAACAAAACCAAACAAAAAAGCATTGGTCCAGGTCAGCGGTTTTCAAAATTTTTTAAGTAAGGAAACCATTTTGCAAACAAAATCTAAAGCAGAATCTAATTATGTAAACCACATGAGTGTTATTTTATTAGCATCAACTCAGCTAACAAACGTAAATTTATACCATATATTTATTATAAAGACATTCAAGGATCACCAGTAAATCCCTCCGATACAAACAGAACTTTGAAACCAGTGGTTAGGGATGCAAGCTGATGTCTCAGACCAGCCTCCACATCTCATTTATTTTTGCATTTTGTTAAAGTAGTACAGGATCCAAAAATCCTGATTCATATAGAAAACTATGTACAAACAGGAACAGTGTCTAATGGCATGCTTCCCCATCCCAGCCGACTCTTCAGTGAAGAGGATGCTGTAGCAGAAACCAAGTTCTGCCCAAGGAGTCAAGGTTGAGTATGTAACACGTTCGAATGTTTATTTTGTTCCCAGTTTTAAAGTAGTTAAAATATATATACAAATGCACTTAAGTTGTAAGCCCTTGCAGAACCCCTGAAAACCATGTCTTTGGAATCCTAAGGTTTTTTTTTTTTTTTCTCTAGTTTTTTGAGACCAAGTTTCACTTTTGTTTGTCCAGGCTGGAGTGCAATGGCACAATCTTGGCTCACCATAACCTCCGCCTCCTGAGTTCAGGCTATTCTCCTGCCTCAGCCTCCTGAGTAGCTGGGATTACAGGTGCCCGCCACCACCCGACTAATTTTGTATTTTTAGTAGAGACAGGGCTTCACTATGTTGGTCAGGCTGGTCTTGAACTCCTGACCTCGGGTGATCCGCCCGCCTCGGCGTCCCAAAGTGCTGGGATTACCGGTGGAAATCCTAGGGTTTCTTGAAGCAAACAAACATGGCATTTGGTTGTGACGCTGTACAACTCTGTAAGGTGAAGAATCTCTGTCCTGAGAAACTCCATCTACTCTATAATGCTCGTTTATGTTCCTTTTTCTACAGTTTGCTCCATGTAAGATACAAATATCAGCTTCTGGCCGTCATAGCAAATGGCAGTAGTCATTAGCAAATGGCAATAGGCTGAAATTTCCACAGTGCTTCCCAACCTATTAGAAAAACAGGCTGGGCAATTAACTTTTCATGTCCTAAAAGTATCAACTTGTATTTAAACAAACATAGCCTGAGGAATCTCATACTTTAAGAACGATCAAAGCAGGCTGGGCGCGGTGGCTCACGCCTATTATCCCAGCACTTTGGGAGGCCGAGGCGGGCAGATCACAAGGTCAGTAAATCGAGACCATCCTGGCTAACACGGTGAAACCCCAACTCTACTAAAAATACAAAAAATTAGCTGGGTGTGGTGGTGGGGGCTGTAGTCCCAGTGACTCTGGAGGCTGAGGCAGAAGAATGGCGTGAACTCGGGGGACAGAGCCTGCAGTGAGCTGAGATCGCACCACTACACTCCAGCCTGGTCGACAGAGAGACTCCATCTCAAAAAAAAAAAAAAAAAAAAAGAATGATCAAAGCAAAGAGTCTTCATAGTTGCTTTTCTTTCCTCCTGGTAGTTGATGGAGATACACACATAACAAAAAATAACAGAAAAGGGTTGGTGTCTTGCTTGTCAGTGGTCCTCAGTGTTCTGAGCCGGGCTGATACAGATTTGATCCGTCCATAAACATGCAGGGTGAGTGAACTTAAATAAGATGCTATTCTGGTTTTCATGTTCATTTTGGTTTCAGTTTTAAGAAGAGCCTACTGGATTTTTCCACAGTCCACCCACTAATTAGAGACATAGGAAGATAATGACTATGGTTGCTTGGCTTATTTTGAAGCTAACCAAATGTGGACCCGGCGGCGGGAGGCTTCTTTGGGGTTTGACTAGGCTATATTTTACAGTGATTGAAGACTTCTGCCACTAAAAAAAAAAAAAAGGAAGAAAAAAAAAGTGACAGCACCCACCAACCTCATTTATAAATCGAGCGCTTTTTTGGGGTTCATAATGAGGCAATCAAGTAGTTTAATAAACTGGAACTTTGACAGTGGAAGATTCTACACTTTGTCAGTCTGGTATATACCTGAACTAATTCTCTCTATCGAAGAGTTGGTGTTGAAAAGTTACTGAGCCCTCCTTGCTCAGCAAACCCTGAACATGAGCTACAGAGCCTCGCTATGAACTGGAAAAGAAAACTTACTTACTGTCACATTTCATCCCTTGGTGGATAAGTCCATACAGCAGGGACCCGCAGTGATCGCAGAAGGTGGGGCTTCCGTAAGTGTGGATTTTGAACTTGTGCTTGCTCCTGGGGTCCTGGGAGAAGAAGCACAGTGCTCATTTTAGTCATGAAAGGACCACGTTTTTAGATTAAGCCAAGCTCAGGCCCCACCACTCCCCAATTTATATAATTAAATATAAATTAAATTTATATAATTAAATATAAATTAAATTTATATAATTAAATATAAATTAAATTTATATTTTAGTCATGAAAGGACCACGTTTTTAGATTGCAGCTCAGGCCCCACCACTCCCAATTTATATACCAACATGACCAAAAACTCCATACACCAAACATAACCAAACTTACACAATCAAACACAAAACCAAACTCATATTTTAATAAATATCTAAAAGACATTGTGTTTTGAGGATGGAATGAAAGAGCATGAGAGGTTAAATATAAATTAAATTTATATAATTAAATATAAATTAAATTTATATTTAATAAATATCTAAAATATTTACTGGTGTTTTTTTTTTTTGAGATGGAGTCTTGCTCGTCGCCCAGGCTGGAGTGCAGTGGCATGATCTCAGCTTATCGCAACCTCTGCCTCCCAGGTTCAAGCGATTCTCCTGCCTCAGCCTCCTGAGTAGCTGGGATTACAGGCACCCGCCATGATGCCGGTATTTTTGTACTTTACTAGTAGAGATGGGGTTTCACCATGTTGACCAGGCCGGTCTTGAACTCCTGACTTCAGGTGATCCACCAGCCTTGGCCTCCCAAAGTGCTGCGTAAGCCACTGCATCTGGCCTGCACTGTGTTTTATATAATGAATACCTACGTTTCCTCTCTTTATGGGGTGAAATTTGCACACACCACGGTTTCCACCAAAGCTATTACTTCTGGAGCTATGGTCACCACAGCCCTTGGGGGCCAGCACCGTGTTTTAAACAACTTGGCATCTCGGTCTCCCCAGTGCCTAGCACAGGCTGGGGCACGAGTAGACACAAAATCGGTGTGTTTTTGAAGCTGAACAGGAACAACCCTAAATGGATCATTCAGAAGATCTCCTCTTGGACAGGGTATCCAGAAATACAATACACTGTGAAACCAGATCTACATCCAAACTGACAGGTCCATTTTCTTGCTTCTGCACCATCTCTAAAGTATTTAATGCTTTTTATAGGGAAACTCAGCATGGTCAGATGAAAACTGGAAAGGCACTGACATTACGCTTCCCCAGAGCCCACTGCAATTTCATTACCTTCTCTTGCATACCACACAGAGCACCGAAGGTGCAACCAGACATCTTTTTTCTTTAGATTTTTAAGCTTTTGTTCCTCAACTCACAGATTATGGATAGGGAAGGAAAATTATATACAGAAGACTATCGTGGTTAAAGAGCATAGACTCTGGAGTCACTGCCTGGGTTCAGGTTGCAGCTCTGCTACTTCCCAGAGGCATGGCCTTGGGTGAACTACTTATCCTTTCTGCCTCATCTGTAAGCTGAGAAATTAACAGCATCTGTTTTCTGTGGTTACTATAAATAAGGACAAAACGAGTCAGTCTTTGTAAAATGCTTAGAAGAGTGCGTATCACAGGGTAGGTAGGTACCATGCAGGTAGTGCAGACAAGCACCTCTGCCTCTGGGGCCTCTGCTTACTTTTTTATTTATTCAATTTTATTATTATTATTTTATTGAGACGGAGTCTTGCTTTGTCGCCCAGGCTGGAGTGCTGTGGCACAATCTCGGCTCACTGCAACCTCTGCCTCCTAGGTTCAAGCGATTCTCCTGCCTCAGCCTCCCGAGTAGCTGAGATTACAGGTGCCTGCCACCACACCTAGCTAATTTTTTATATTTTTAAATTTTTTTTATTTTTAGTAGAGACGGGGTTTCACCATGTTACTCAGGCTGGTCTCAAACTCCTGACTTCAGGTGATCCACTTGCCTTGGCCTCCCAAAGTGCTAGGATTACAGGTGTGCGCCACCATGCCCGGCCTCCTCTGCTTATTAATATATAATAGTAGGCCGGGCATGGTGGCTCACACCTGTAATCTCAGCACTTTGGGAGACCGAGGCAGGCAGATCACCTGATATCAGTAGTCTGAGACCAGTCTGGTCAACATGGTGATACCCTGTCTCTACTAAAAATACAAGAATTACCCAGGTGTGGTGGCGCGTGCCTGTAATCCCAGCTACTTGGGAGGTTGAGGTAGGAGAATCGCTTGAACCCAGGAGGTGGAGGTTGCAGTGAGCTGAGATTGTGCCACTGCACTCCAGCCTGGGTGACAGAGCGAGCCTCCATCTCAAAAAATAAATAAGTAATAGTAGAGCTCTGAGCTTCTACTCAGGTGATCCATTTGTCTCCCATCCAAGTACTAACCAGACCCCACCCTGCTTAGCTTTCGATCAGGCCTGTACAGGGTGGTATGGCCATAGACTCAGCTGTTCTACAGGAACTACAAAACAATTTCATACTCAACATGTACCTATCAGGACTCATTCCTGTTAAGTTCTTCCTCTTGAATCACTCTTTGTGGCCTGAGCAACTGTAAAGGCAGAGTGGCCATCCACTGAATTAAGCAAGACCTTAGAAAAGCAGGGTTTGGGGCAGGGCAAGAGATCCAGAGATCTACTGTAGACCTGCCAAGCTTGAATTATTCTTTCTCCCAGGGTTTCTCCAATGCAAAGTGACACAAAGTAGAATATTCTTGGCTGCTGACTTTCTGAGGGCCTTGGTGCTGGTGATTTTGGGGAATTCCAAAGGTGATTCTGACTATAAGATAATTCACCCTTTGGTTGACTATGGAACCTAAAGCCTAAGCCACATACATGCCAAAGGCTTGTTATGACTACCTTTTTTTTTTTTTTTTTTTTTTTGAGACAGAGTCTTGCTCTGTCACCCAGGCTGGAGTGCAGTGGCGCGATCTTGGCTCACTGCAAGCTCCACCTCCCGAGTTCACGCCATTCTCCCGCCTCAGCCTCCCGAGTAGCTGGGACTACAGGCGCCCACTACCACGGCCAGCTAATTCTTTGTATTTTCAGCGGAGACGGGGTTTCACTGTGTTAGCCAGGATGGTCTCGATCTGCTGTCCTCATGATCCGCCCGCCTCGGCCTCCCAAAGTGCTGGGATTACAGGTGTGAGCCACGCCCGGCCTATGACTACTTTTTAAAGATTTGAGAATTCTGAAATAGTTCAATCATACAGAGAAGTATAAAGAATAGTAAACCCCTTATGTCTGCACCACCCAGAACTTATAAAAGTGAGCATTTTCCCCTAGTTTTTAATGCAAAATTATCCTCGTTTTACAGAGATGTTAGTGACCTTCCCAAAATCACATGGTTGATGAACATCAGAATTCAGATTTTTTTTATATGAAACGGTTTACACATTTGCACGTCATCCTTGCACAGGAACAATGCTCATCTTTGTTTCACTCCAAGTTTTGTATTTGTGCTGCTTAAGAGAGCACAGACCTACGATGTGACCAACATTGGATTCCCATCCCAAGACCTTTTGGAGATCTACTCAGAATGAGGATCTGGCTCTCAATATCTTTACAACAAATTTTTATATTTGCAACACATTATTTTATTTTTATTTTTTGGAAACAAGTCCACCACCTGTTTTTGTAAATAAAATTTTATTGGAAAAAAGCCATGTTCCTTTATTTACGTATTTGCTTTGGCTACAATGGCAGGGTTGAATAATTATGACAGAGACTGTGTGGGCCACAAAATCTAAAATATTTACTATTTGGGCCCTTTTAGGAAAAGTGTGCCAAGCCCTGCTTTAAGACAGGGGTTTTCAAAGCATGGTTCCCACACAGCATCACATCACCTGGAACTTGTTAGAAAGGTATAGTATTTAGTCCTTTCCCAGACCAACCAAGTCAGAAACTCTGGGGGTGGGGCCTCCCAGTCTGTGTTTGAGCAGATCCTGCCAGTGATCCTTGTGTCGGCAGACTCACTAAAGACTGGAAAACCACTGCTCTGGAAGGTCATTCAACAAGTATTTAGTAAATGCGTCACAGGTGCGACGTGAGTACCTAGCACCTCTATGTGCAGATGATTAATGATATCCTTGAGGCAGGTCAGTAGTTTACCTCCTAAATGTCTCTCTCAGGGTATGAAAAATCAGCATCTTCCTCGACAGCTTATTTCTTCTGGAAAGTAGTAGTTGGGTCTACGGTATGAAGTATGACCTTAGATTTCCACCATTAGAGAAGCCCACCAATTTTCCCAGGATCCCACGACATCAGGAAGAATGTTCAGGGAGTAGGCTGGTGCCAGCACCAATTAAAAGTACCTGTGTTGACAGGAAAGGTTGTGTCCTACAGTGCGGAGGGCACAGAAGATGCCAGGGGAAACGAAGGAACCAGTTTTCCCTGCAGAAACGAGTCATCAACAAATGGCACTAAATAAATAAGGAATGGCAGCTCGCACGGAGCCCTTAGGAGTATGTGCGTGCCAGGCAGCCCCAGGGTGGTTGTCATACCAGTTGGTTGTCACATAGATCTCCACTGACGGCCGGCCGCGGTGGCTCAAGCCTGTAATCCCGGCACTTTGGGAGGCCGAGACAGGCGGATCACGAGGTCAGGAGATCGAGACCATCCTGGCTAACACGGTGAAACCCCCTCTCTACTAAAAAATACAAAAAACTAGCCGGGCAAGGTGGCGGGCACCTGTAGTCCCAGCTACTCGGGAGGCTGAGGCAGGAGAACGGCGTGAACCCGGGAGGCGGAGCTTGCAGTGAGCTGAGATCCGGCCACTGCACTCCAGTCCGGGTGACAGAGCGAGACTCCGTCTCAAAAAAAAAAAAAAAAAAAAGATCTCCACTGACGTGGCACACAGGCAACTCACTTTTCAGGAAAACCTAAGGCTTACTCATGCAACAGCCATATGGCACCTTCAGGCTCTCACCGTTTGGAGGTGTAGGAAGAGAGGAAACCATCGCTTCCACCTCCTGCCTAAGTCTGGAGAACCGGCAAGTCTCGGTGTCGTCACACCCCAAAATTATGTGTGGCCAAAGATCCTGCCTATGAATTACAACAATGACAGTAATAATAATAGGACCAGCTGTTTGT